TTCATGTCAGAATTTTGTGGCACTCATGACATATTATACCAAATGCTTTATTTAGAAAATGAAGTGGGTTGATTGTTTTTTGTATCAATAGAAATTTATACATTTTTGAACACTGTTATCCTTGGTCTCTATATACCACATGCTGATAGCACCCTCTTCTCCAATTTGCATTTAAAAAATATTCCACATTGCTAAATATGCCTTCAGGAATAAAACTTCCCCCAACACAGAATAACCATTATAGATTATTTATGTATTATAGTTGTATTCCATATATTTTTAAACTCTCTACAGCCTGAATTCAGTAGCTGTATATTCATCCCTGGCTGCTCTATTGAGTCCCCAAGCTCCGGACACAACTGTCACTGCAGTATCTTACTAGCATAACTTCTGTTTATCTTGTAAAGCTCACAACATTAGCATTTCCTACCATCATACATACACTTCTTGTGTCTGTGAGCCCCAATAAATGGTCCCTTTCTAGTTTTTAATTGGTAACATTAGATTAAGTGATCTATTGCCACACACCACCATTTCTCCTTTTTATAATTATAAAATTCCTGCCAACTTCAACTAGTTGTGTTGTTTTTATTGACCACAGTTGAATCAAGGTGACATCTTATTAAGTTAATGGCTTATTTATTTAGTTGGTGATTTAATTGTATTTAGTTAATGACTCATACCATTGTTTTATTTTTAACATGTCAAACACATTGAAGGCCAAATAATTAAATTTCTTTTTTAAATTCCTGATGACAAGAAGACTTATTCTCTCTCAACAAATACTAAATTCCTACAGCACCTATCTATGGATGGAACCTAGCACATGTCCCCCATCTGCCTTGGCATGTGATCTAGTACTGTCACTGTGAATGTATTATTTAGGCAACAATATTGTTGAGATTCAATGGCTGCAGCTTCTGCATCCAATATAGAAGACACTATCAAATCCCTGTTTAACACTGAAGACACTGTGTTCTGGTTCTCTGACTCTTCAAAATTTTCTGCCACTTCTTCTGTGATATTCCCTGCCATGTTTAATGTACTCATACTCAGCAGGGGAATATATATAAATAGAGAGAGAGAGAGAAAGAGAGAGAGCATATACATTTTATATATATCATAAAGAAGAAAGGATCAGCCGGGCAGTGGTGGGGCACGCCTTTAATCCCAGCACTCTGTGAGTTCGAGGCCAGCCTGGTTCTCCAAAGCGAGTTCCAGGAAA